GGTATTACTGGAGCAGAACAGATTTCTCCTTCAGCTCCTATGGAGCAATTTGTGAGTGGTCTGTGAAAAAAGAGAGGAAGGCAAAGTCCTGTCGTGCCAATAGAAACTCATTCTTTAGTCACTTTTCCCAAATGTAAGCTGTCAATGTATATTCAACTGTGGTACAAATGTGTACAAGAAAGGTGCATGATTTGCAGTTGAAGGCCCAGCATTCTGCCACTGTATCTCTGGATATTGCTGGAGGAAACTCAAGTGTGAAACTCTGGAGAATGACAGCCAGGAGACAATACTGAGCTAGAAATACCTATGTTCTGATTTGCTGTGAAGCAAACCCGTGCTCCCATAGTTCAATGTAAACTGTATTCATCCCCAATTTTTATTATTTTGCAGTTCTAGATACACTGCTTACCACGCAGGTGTTAGTCTGCTTTTCTATGTGAGGATGCCCTTGTCAACCAGTAAGTTGTGATTAATATCATAACTTACTGGTACTTTTTCCATTCCTACTCCAGCGTATGTGTGTGTACGACCTGTCAGCTGAGTGTGTGGTCTGTCAGCTAAGACGACACTTCATATATCTGTTGATGAGTGCTGTAATCCACAAATGTTAATGCCTGATAAAGGTGCCAAAGTACTTTTCGCTGCTTTTACTGCAACAGATTAACATTGCATGTCTACCCTTGACCTATTTACTGTGTACATTAACTTCTTGCGATACAAGGACATCTGCAAGCAGGATCTGAAGACCTTAGGAATAGACCTCAACAGATGGGAACCTCTGACATCTGAGCGTTCAGCCTGGAGGCATGCGGTGCATCACGGCCTCTCCCAATTTGAAGAGACCCTTGCCCAGCAGGCTGAGGCACAGAGGAAGTCACAAAAGCAGCAAAACCAGGGAGCTGGACAGGGGACAGATTGGATTTGTCTTCAGTGTGGAAGAGATTGTCATTCTCGAATTGGCCTCCTCAGCCACACTAGACGCTGTTCCAAGTCCTCCATACAGGGCACGATACCATAGTCTCCCGAGACTGAAGGATGCCTACTACTACTACTAGCTTCTTGTATGTCTTCAGGAGATAGAATTCCACTAATTTCACAAGACTTTTCTGTAATATATAAGCAACTAGTAACTAACTTTACGGTTCATTATACATTTTCGTTTCCCCTGCTCCTCCCCCCCTTTATCTAATGTCAGACTCTGCTATGGTGTATCATTTCTGTTTGAAGCATGGACAAAGATGTTCGGCATATTATACAGATGATTCCTTCTTCCCCNACTGGTTAAATATGCCACTGGTTACATTTCGAAATTGCAATTCCCAAATAATTTTCTTTCACAGATTTTTAGGGCATAAAAGAGAGCTCAGATGAGATTTCAGATTCCTTTTATGAAGTACAAAACACTTGTTGGAGCAGAAGAGGGTGTGATTAAATATTGCTATGATTCTGCACATTCCTGATACATGTCATAGGGGATGCTGTTATGTATTCGGAACTTAATTTTCTCCAAAGTATCAAACAGGTGCAGAAAACAATCATGGGAGAGGAGCACATATGTCCTTGAAAAAATACTTTGCCTAATAATGTTTCCCTCTATCTTGAGCATTGTCTGGATTCAGTATTGGAATGGACCAGGGCTAACAGGCCCTGGCTTCAGTATTGGAATGGACCAGGACTAACTGAACCCAGTCAGGGCAGAGAGTTTGGCTCATTGGGGGGGGGGAGAGAGAAGGTTGGGGGGGATGGTCCCTAGTCTGTATTGCATTGCCCTCCCATTTAGGAACCAAATGTACAACATGAGCATTCTTCTGGACCCAGCTCTTTCTTGAGAATCCCAGATTACAGCTGTGTGCAGATCAACCTTTAATCAGTTTAGGCTGATTGCCCAGCTCTGCTCGTACCTAGACGAGGCCTCCTATGGACTTTGGTGTAGGCCCTGGCCATTTCCTGAACTGACTATTGTACTGCAATGCTATCTATGTGGGCTTCCCTTGAGCCTGATCTAGAGACTTCAGTGGGTCCAGAATGCGGCAGGCAGACTGGTGGTACGTATGAGTAAAATTGACCATATCACTCTGGTTTTGGCTTGCCTCCACTGGTTGCCCGTTGCATCCCAGATCACATTCAAGGTTTTGATACTTACATACAAAGCCCTCCATAGTATTAGCCTATTGTGCAATGGATCCAACCTTATGGAACCAGCTTCCAGAGGACGTCCGCCTAACCCTCTCCCTGTTGATATTTAGGAAGCAATAAAAAACATTGCTTTTCAGAGACGCTTTCCACATTGACAATAACTGATCACACACACCTCCTTATTTCCTCCATCAACTATGGGTTTACATGATTGCTTTGTGTCATCTGTTTTTAAGGGTTAATTGTAGTTGCTTTTAATGCTTATTTTTTGTTTTGTATTATATTTATTGTAACTGCTCAGAGTAGTGCCTTGGCACTAACAGAAGTGGGATATAAATTGAATTAATTAATTAATTAATTAATTAACAAAAAAGCCCCCCACAATTTTATGGATGTTGCCATCTTCCATTTATTATACTTCTGTATTTTCTTGAGCTGGCTGGATAGCTCAGTGAGTTAGGTATCTGGCTGAGGAATTCAATTTTCCACCATGCGTTCAGCTCACAGTCCTAGTATGTCCCAGAAAAAGAACACAATGATAAACCCCGTCTGAGTACTCCATAGCTAGGAAACCCTAGAAGTGACTTGACAGCACACAATTATCATGTGTTTCCTTGGGGGTTGTTCAATCATTTCGTCTTCACATAAACACACCATTAAAAGGTGGGGAAAAGAACAGCTACACATTTATTTTAATTTGTAGTACTATGAAATTCTGCATGAACATTTGTAGAAGCTCTATGACATAATAAGAGAGTCACTTCCCTCCCATCACCAATGCCACGGTCCTGTTCTTGGACAGAGCTGAGTGGGTTGAGCTATGGGAGAAACAGCTATCCTACTATAAAATGGAAAAATGGGTCAGTACTATTTGAAAATCTTCAACTATAAACTACTTAGATGCTAGAAAGAAAAAAAAACAGGAGAAATACATTGAAAATGGGATGTGTTTTGAAAAGCGGGTAGAATCCATTATTGCACACAATGTTTTAAATCATATAGGACATTTCACAAATCTAGTACATTCAAGTAAATGCTTAAATCAATAATTATTTTGTGCTTTGTTGGACTTATTCAGGGCACCTACATATGCTCAAATGAAGTAAATTATTCACTACTCATCACAAAACCACTCTCACGTTCTTTTCACATTTTGTGTGGATTCAGTAGTGGAAAGTATCAGTAAAATTATTTGCCAACATCAAAGGAAAATGACTAATTAATAAAAGTAAAATGTTGTGATGTTTCTAACATCATGTATTGTGCTATCTTTCATGTGCATGCTTCATCAGATTTGCTGGCACTTCAAACAGAATTGGTATATTTAATATAGCATATTTATATTAAACAACCAAAATACACACAATTCTGACAAGAGGTGGATGAATTTCTGTTTTCTGCTGGGTTTTGTCACCTGTGAAGCACTACTTAGAAGCTTACCTCCCCACTTTTCTTACATATACATACTGCAGACTACAAATGGCTTAAGCCCAATTTTCCGTGCCTGTGGCAGTGTACACTATAAGCCATCTACTCCAGTAGCAGCTTATCTTCCCAACAAGTGTCATGGCTTCAGGACCACATGATTCTATATACAGCATTGCACAATTCTCTCCCCCCCCTTTTCCCTTCTTCTGTCTCACTTGAGAGAAGGTTGCTCTTCAAAGAACAGTGAGAGAGATGTCTACCAGGCAGCTGCCTCAGATACCTTCCTCTTGCACCTTCCATTCCATATTGCAAAAGGTGGCATACTATTTTCTCTCATCTTGGCCCTTCATTTTAAGAGATATTTTGTCTTGACTGATAGAGCATAAGGTGTTTGGGAAGGCATAGCCAACTGTGGAAACTTGTGCTGGGTACGGCAAACCCATGCGAGGAAGGAAGAACAGGATGGTATAAAATTCAGGAGGACAGTATGACTAAATGACGGACTCCAAGGAACATGTTCTGCACCTGTGATGTTCATCTAAATCAGGGTTCGGAAACTGGGGACCCTCCAGCTGTTGCTGGGCTGCATCTCCCATTATCCCAAGGTATGGATGTGATGGCTGGGCTACTGTAGTCCATCACCATTTAGAGTTCCACTAGTTCTCCAGCCCTAACCTAAATCTTTCTGTATTTTGAGTAGCTGACTCATAAATCAATGGCATGGATTTTTATTTGCATACATAAATACTTTTGCAAACAAAAGGAAACTGGCAACAAATTCAATTATACAGCTGCATTAATCTGATGACTAAGTCTCAGATCAATTTTGTAAAAAAAATGCTTAACATGTGGTATTTACAAATTATATAAATAAATCCTTGGTTACCCAAAAAAGTTAATCATCTTAAACAAAAAGGATTACCTTACTGGGGATATTAAAAATGTTCATATATTGGTAATATCCCAGTTCGTAGTATAAAATGTTGCTTACATACATTAAAAAAGGAGATCATATAAAGAAATAAGAAAAGTGTAGGTAAAAAGTAAAAAAAACCAAATATATTCATATATATAAATATATATATAGAAATGCTTGATATTTGAAATCTCAAAATGTCTTCTACAATGGCTTTCAGAAGACTTTAGAAATACACTCTACAGTATTTGAGTTGTGAAAAAAAAAATCATTTCAAGAACGGGCAGTGTTACCAAAAGAAATGAATCCCATTTCATTATTTAAACGGCAGAGAGGTCTTATTAAACAGAAACAGAAACAAAACAAAAACAAAGAGAACAGAATGTCAGTGGCCAGCCACAAGCCTTGTACAACTTTTAACTTAAAAGAAACACTTTTGTAATTCACAGACTGCACATCCTTCACTCAAACAGCAACTGAAATGAACAAAGATACAGGGGAAGGAAGAGCAGAGAACGGATGGTTTTCTAATTACCTGTGATTAAATTAATGCTTTCTCCTCCTCTTTTTTTCACCTTTGCCATTAATATCAACATAAACACCATTAACAACACCTACTTATTCCATCGAACATGATATAACCTGGATAATCAGTACTGCACATTATGAATGTAGAATCAAAAGAGAGAGTCAAATAGAAACCACTGAGATTCCTACATGGACACACAGAAGTAGAAAGCCATGGAGATTTCCAAAGTGCCATGACTACCAAGTTCAGATGATTTTTCCCCTTCCTGGAATAGTTTGGACAACATGAAAAGACGTTAGGGATTAGTGGCTTCTTCGCTCACATTGTGAACCTCTCCTTTAGCTGCTTTGGCGAGAACTTCCATCCATTTTGTTTGCAACTCTTCATCCTCAGCACTGAAGTACACAGTCTGCTGCGACTGGCAGAGTTTGAAAACATATTTTGTTTCAAACTTCTCACCCGATTGTGGCAAGTCAACTTCATAGCCTGGTAAGGGTATGCTGCGTGGAATCCGTCCATCCTAAAACAGACAGAGGAGGGAAGGCAGACATGAGAGTAAAAAAAGTTTGGACTTCAACACAAAATAGGAGATTAACAGGGGAATTATTTTAGAAAAGAAGCCATTAGTTCACTTGAATGTCAAGAATATTTTGGTCATAACTTCTGTTTGAGGGCAAAGCATGAATTTAAAAATGATTAGTAGGGATTGAGCATTAGAGGTATTATATTTTAAATTTCCACTGAGATGGTATCTTTCCACATTGATCAGTCTCTTCTGCCAAGATGCTTCTGTTTCAAAGGAGTCCTGGATTAGTAATGACATTGAAACTAGAGGACAGCCTCTCACTGGGCAATCTTAAGAGAATATTACAGCACTCATACAACCCTGTGGTTATTCGTGGCTGCTGGCTGCTCCTTCTATGACTCTGAAAGCTGGGAGGACCTCACCCGTTCCCCCTACCATGCAGCTGATATACATTTCTTAAAAACAATGACTTCTTCAGGATCTTTTCTCTTCCTATAAATGCTAGAAACATAGATTTTGACAACTGCTCCTCTCTGGTTTATTATTCTGACTATGAAGGTCCTTGCCTTTGCTGCTGATTTCAAGAACACAGCAAATTATTAACATGGCAAATTACAAAAGTGAGCTCCAGATTTGGTTTTTACTATGGATATTTACAATCATATTGCAGTTTAGCTGAAAGTTGAACACCGCTCTGGAATTTTATTAATGAACAGTGATACATAGACAATTATATAAAATAATCCCTTTCTATGCTCATCTGCTTGAAAGGGATGACACACAAAACTCTATGCTTTGAAAACATCATCTTAGTGCTACATCATCCCTATGCCTGCCTTTTTTGGTCATCCTGAAATGTAGACCAAATGATGGTCAAAGACTACACTCTACTGTTCCCAATGCAGAATCAAGTATGATAGCACAAAGGCCTACTTAGTTATAGAAATTATTTTTAAGATAGGAAGATATCCTATATAGACCATCTTAACTGCTGCCATGGCTGTTGTCAACATTCAGGCTGCTGTTTGCTATGTAAAGTTTGGCATCCTTTTTCCTGGTGGCAACATGACATTGTGCAGCAATACATATTGGGCCATTTCTCAACATTTCAAAGTGTTTAAACAAAAGTACAATATCTCACATTCATAAACAAGAGGCGTTTCTTTGAAGAACTGAATATATTACATTAGCAGTTGCACCTGTAACTCTTGCATTAGCTGAAGTGTGTTGCAATTCCCTCATAAATCTATCTAGAATTTAAAAGCCAAGACTGAATCACCACTCTTTTGGCACCAGAGAGGAAAAATACATAGGGATGAGAAGGGGTGAAGGCCTGACAATGCTTTGTCTGCAATTCAAATCTTGCAAAAACAACAACAATAACAACAACAACAATAACAACAACAATTACTACTAAACCGTGTGCCATGAAGTCAATTCTGACTTACCGGTTTTCCACTTCTTCTCCCATAAGAACCCAATGGGGAGTTAAGACTCCTAAGCTCACTGAACTCTTTATTACACCTATATGTTTCTGGTGAGTGTGAATTAGCTGAGAAAAATGTGACAACTGAAGAATCCTACTTGTTTTACACATTATCAAAACAGTTTCTCAGCACATCTGCAACTGCACAGATCTAATACTTTCAGCAACCTCTTCGATGTATGCAATGTGGCAAGAAGGTTTCACTGTGTCAGAGAAGCTGAAAGCAATGCCATCAGGAAACTAGACTCTGCTACAAGTCTGGACTCCTAGCCAGGTGACACACTGGAATGATCAAAGGCTGAAAACTCACAAAAGAATCCTAAAAGCAACTTCCCAGTGACATGCATGGAAAGATTAAGCGAACTGTTACAATAATCCATGCAGAGAAATAGAAAAGGGGAAAACAATAGATATGTTCTATAAAATCCAAGAAATAAAAAAAAAATAACCTACAGATGTTGAAAGATTGGTAACAAAACATACTGCTTGAAATCCTGTTGCACAGCCTGCAATGTCTTTGGCAGTAACAGCAAATTGTGCTGATTAGACTTTCTTTGGCAATTTCAGGGTGCACAAACTGTGTTTACCCCCAGATCACCTTTTAAAAGTAGCAGTTTGCTCCTGCTGTTGACATCACATCATTGCACATGCAGAGCTACTCAACCACATGGCAACCATTATATGACAAGGATAAGATAAAAAGGAGATGGAAACAATTCACTGAATAACTGTAAAGAAGAGATGCAAGAATGACAACTCTTTTCAAAAGGAGTGCAGTGGTGAAGGACCCATGATTTTAGAAAGCAAAGTGAAAGCCATTCGCAAAGCACTTGGAAGAAATAAATACTGTAATCAAGAGTAGATACCAGTAGAAATATTCCAAGCTATAAAATCTGTCAAAATTCTCAGAAGAACGTGCCAAAAATATGGGGGGGGGACAACAACAAAACAATGGCCCACAGACTGGAAGCATTTAATATAAATTGCAATTCTGAAGAAAGAAGACACCAGAGAGTGCATTAATTGCCTCTGCAAGCCAGGCATACTCAAGGTTTTATGACCATATATGGAATAAGAAATGCCCAATGCCCATGGTGCTTTCAGAGAAGAAACAAGCACTAGTGATCATAATACAAATATACTGGCTATTCAAAAGAAAAACCAGTATTGCCATATAGATGATGGCAAAGCCTTTGACTGGTATGTCATGAAAATCTATAGATTGTTCTGGATTAAGGAATAGATTACTCTGGATTATGAGAGATTGCTTAAACTGGAGGGACATGATCTTGACCTGGTGTGGCATGCTTTTGTATGCTACCAAAAAGCTAAATATCATAAAGTCTTCAATACTTATATGATAAGAAAGTCTTAGTAAAATTCTGGGGTGGGTATCACCATTGGAAGCATTTACACAGCCAACCCTAATAGACTTAACCAAAATTTTGAGGTATAGAGATCTGCTTAAGAAAGATGGGGCATTAAAGACTAGAGAGGAGTTAGAGGAGTAGAAAGTTTTTCTAGATTGGTGGATGAGACGACAATTAGACTTTAGGTATTTGAAAGATAAAATAATGGGCTTTTATGAAGAACAAACTGTATTTGATAAACTACTGTTAGGAACAAGTGATAAAATAATTTAAAGAATTTATGAATATCTCTTGGATATGAACATGGAAGATGAATACAGACAGAGTTCTAACTCCTGTCCTCTGAAGATGCCAGCCACAGAGACTGGCGAAACGTTAGGAAGAAAAATCTCCAGAATACGACCAAACAGCCAAAAAACCTACAACAACCATGACGTGGTGAAGGACTGTATGATAAAATGGCCACAAAACATTGGTCATAATATTAATTTAAAACACTGGACAAGAATTTGGCAGACTAATATTAAACCTACAAAATCAGTAAATTTTAAAGAAAAAATACATAAAATTTTTATAGATCACGTATGACTCCAGCTAAAATGTCTAAAATGTATGAAAATATATCCAAGAAATGTTGGAAATGTAAAACGCAGGAGGGTACTTTTTATCATATCTGGTGTACATGTAGGAAAGCAAAAATGATTGGAGATCAGTACATGAAATATTACAAAAAAAAATATATCTAGTGTGATATGACTTAACCCAAAATTGTGTTTATTGAATATTATGTCTGAGATTGTAGATAAAGAAATGAGACATTTGAGAATACATGTAATTACTGCAGCGAGGATACTATGTCTCTTGAGGAGTTGATAGAAAATATATTGGAAGTGGCGGAGATGGATGTACTAACAGAACCATTCAATGAAATATCATCTCAAGATGATATCATCTCAAAAACTGGGAATGATTTTATAATTGGACTTGAAATATGGCTTGGAAAGGATAGACAAAAGAAGATTGTAAAGGTCCAAGGGAATGGCTAAATTGTTTCTTTTTGTTATTTTCCTTTTTAGCATAATGGTGCAAGTGGATGTAAGAATAGTTTTTCGCTTTCTGAATTTTTTTACTCCTTCCCCAATCCATACCCCTTCCCCCCTCACCCCTATACCCCTATTCCAATTCTTATTCCCATTGAAAATGAATTTTTAAAAATCTATAGACTGTTCTAAAAGAAATGGATACGCCTCAACATTTGATTGTCATGATATGTAATCTACACTCTGGACAAAAAGCGACTGTTAAAACAGAATATGGAGAAACAGAATGGTGCCAGGCAAGGGTTTATTTTATTACAATATAAAATAGTGTGCTCACAAAAATCTGCACATTTATTGGATCATTTTTCATGCATGGCACACAAACAGGCTGCTCATAACAAAGTACTACATGCCCCAGCATATAACCTCAGAATTCATGTTCTATTTCATTTCTGAATAAGATATGATCACAATTTTAAGCGCATGAAATACGTTGAAATTTTTACCTGATTTCCTCCTTGTAGATATAAGACAAGAGGTTCAGTTTTTGGAATGGTGACCCATACTTTACACCAAGTTTTTCCTTTCTCTTGGAATAAGAGGTAGCTGCTGAAAATACTGTTTTCTTCTCCACAAATGCTTTGTTTCTGATTTTAAAAAAAGCCAACATACAGTCATGTTCTCGAGCTGAATGCATTTACACTTTATGGTATATGTTAACAGTTGACGTTCAAATATTTATTCACACATAGTGAATGTGTACACAAGTGTGATTACTAGGGTCGAAAAACTCAAAAGTTTAAGCATCATTGCACAGAAAAAGGATAAAAGGACCTAAATGTAGGTGCTGAACCACCACTGTTCTTGGAAGTGTTATGTTAAAAATTCCACCTCCACAGCAGAGGTTGAGAACAGCAATTAAGATGACACACTTATTTTCATGCTCAAAGTAGGTTGGGAGGAGAGTGAAAATTAAAAAGGGAGCTGCTTCAGCACAAGTGAGTAGAGTCAGAGTACAATACTGCTGCAAGGAGAAATGAAAACTCCACGTTTCAGGGAGGGAAGGAGCAATGAGCACAAAGTATACAGTATGCCCCCCCGCTCCCCCAATGTGTTGCAACAGCCCTGTTCCAAGCTTGCTTGGAAGCACAGCTCATAGCACTGAATAGGATTTACTGACAAGTAAGTAAACATTGGATTATTGTGGGATAAAGTCAGTCAGCATACTATAAAAATGCCATCTGTGAAGCATGGAATGTGAGACCATTCTTGTTAAATCAGGTCTCTTGATAATATGATTTGTGAGCAATCACGAAGGCTACTAGAATTTACTGGCACCCTGTTCACTTCATTCTCACATTGTTATGGCCTGTATAATAAAAGGCAACAGCTGAACTTCCATTTTCTCAGGTGGGACTTGTACATGAATAATTTGAATTTTGACAAGTTGCACCCTCTGATAAGGAGACAGGTCTATGGGGCATGCTCCCCATTTCTCCCTTAACATGGAGCCAGAAGCAGAGGAAACAGTCAATTGCGTTGCTGTTGCCACTGCCCAGCCTGGAAAGAATGTGGTGCATAATTTTTAACATTATGTGAAGAGGTATTAGGTAGGCTGGGTGGAATGAGCACACTCCAGGTAATCATACCACCCCCAGGAAAACAGCTTAGAGATAACAGAGATACAGCATTCTATGAAATGACAAAAGACATTTGTATTCTTATAGATTTCACTAGAAAAAAGATTTCCCCTCCAGTTTCAGGAAGTCAAAATCCTCCTTTGTAATAGCACATTGACAGAGATACATACAGAATTCTATGAAATGACAAAAGCCATTTGTATTCTTATAGATTTCACTAGAAAAAAGATTTCACCTCCAGTTTCAGGAAGTCAAAATCCTCCTGTGTAATAGCACATTTGAGACTCTGTGTGTGTGTGCGCGCGCGCATGCGTGCGTGTATGTGCACGTGCATGTGCGCACATGTGCGTGGTGGTGGGCAAGAAATCAGTTAATAATTCCCTGAGGTCCCTAGAATAAACATGAGGAAGCGCCTATATTCTGTATATACAATTATACAACAAATCTCCGCAAGTCTTCTGTCTGTACCTAATAAATCTAACAAGGAGCCAAACCATCAAGACTCAGTGAAGTCATGAATTACTAATTTCAGAGAAACACTAGAACCCTTAATCTTAGAGGCATTTGCTTAGATATAACCCTTGGATGTATATCAATTACTGTACCTCCTAGCAGAAATAGCTCAGATTAGACTCTATTTTTCCCCATTTCCCTGGTGCATTTTAACCAAACCTCAAAGACTTAGTGCAGAATTAAATGTCTAACATTATTACAGAAAAATACTCCCTTTTAATTGATACCAAGGGGCTTTATTTCAGAGAACAGGCTACACTTCAGTGACTTCTAAAAATCTGTATGGCTTTTAGGATTATCAGAAAATTCAGACTTAAGGACAGACTATTGCTCAATAGTAGTTTTCTGAACACTAGAAGCAAATTTCAAAATGGAAGAGCAAGATAATTTATTAACACCACATAGGCCGTGATACTCTTCTTCCTCAAAAAATTACTGATTCTTAAATTAGTAGATCATGGTAGCCACTATGTTCCTCTGTTTTGTGCAAGCTATCTGTGAGATCTAAGAGAAGGTCTAATATGCTTTAAAACTAACAAGATCCCAAGAGCAGAATTTGGATAGAGGCAGTCAGTCAGAAACCAGGCTGAGAGAAGTGATTGCCAGAGGACGCGTCTTGGCAGAAAAAGCTGCAAATTTTGGCCATCGTTTTAATTCTGCAGCATGAGGAAGAAAAATATATAGAGAAAATCATTTGGGGCTGGGAAATCAGTCAGATAGTTTATGCCTAAACTTCTGCAGCACACCTAATGTTCCACAATTTATACACAACTCAAAAGTCCCAAAGAGGTTTACAGTCCCTATCACAGGTCCATACTGACTTCTGCACACAGTACCGTCATTTGTACATCTGGCTCTCCCTGGAGCCATAGAGGTAAAAAAAAAAATTAAAGTCTGCCATGCAAGAAAGACTGTAGGAATAGGCTTTAGTCTTAGTCCATTAGGAAGGCGCTACCAAAATTTTATTTGATTTTTAAAAAATGGCCAATTGATTCTTACAAGTACGAAGAATGCAAATTTACACAGCCCAGTGCATTTTGGAACAAAAGGATCTTTCTCCAAGATCAGTTGTACACTACATTGAAACCAGGCTGAAACAACTTACAGAAATGACAACTCTCTTTAGAGCACACGAATGGTGTAGATCCAAAGCCTCTTTTGATCTCCCTCAGTCCACCCTCCTTCTTGCTGTTACTGCTGAAGTGCCACAGTGGAATAGGAAGGGCGTCAGGGGCTTCTTTATCTACAACAGGGGAGATTTGTAAGCCTGAAGTTCTTTCTCTATCCAAGGACCTCCCCCTTCACAGGCACCCTACCAGGTTCCATAGCAGTGCAGGCCAAGGTAGACCGCAAGCAGACTTTCACAATGAAAACGATGCTTTTGCTCAGACCAGCTTAACCTTGGAGTTAAGACATAAATGTACCTCAGTGGTGAACTTCTTCTTTTGTTCTCCTGAACCTTCATTGCCAAGCGTTGCTGACAGCAGATGAAAACAGTCTTTACACACTCGGTTCTGGCGGCTGTTATCAGCAAGTGTTTTAAATTCAGAGCATTTTGCACAGATAACCTGGATTAAAAACACAGCATTTGATTTCTGATTCAGTTATCCAAGACAAACTCTTCTTATGATTAGAAACCCTTCGCTTTCTTCTCCTGCAAACCGTGATCTGGAGTAATAGTCATGGTCTGGAGTAATTTTCAGGCCCAATTCCTAATATATTTCTCTGCTGCTTCCCCCACTTATTTAACAGCATGGGATTTCTTTGCTGTTCTGAGTTATTTTCTATGACTCTATCTAATCAGGGATTTAAAAAGGCAAAGTAATGCCTCTGAAGATTATTAGCCTTTTTGTTCAGTGTTATAAAAAGGCATCTGGCTACACTGAATTAAATATTTATTCAATTTCTTGGAAGCTCATCGAAATACAAATTGAGTACAGCTCCATCTACGAAAGGACACTAACTGGTGCTCTGTAAATATGACATCAACTTGAATCATTGTGAGTTCAGCAATTCAGCATGAACTCAGCATTTTCAGCACATCTGTAAATCTGTTCATACAGGACCTGGTCTGGTTATTTATTAGGCATTCTCAGGGACCATATAGAAACAATTACCCATATTATAAAACAGAAAACTCTATTTCCTTTATAGCAAGAGAGAAAGGGAAGAAAAAAGTACACCCTCTGAATTCTATAGTTTTACATATCAGGACATAATAAAAATCATCTGGTCCTTAGCAGGTCTGAAAATTAGGTAAATGTAGCCTCAGATAAACAACAATATATTACACCGTGTCATGATTTATTTAACAAAAATAAAGCCAAAATGGAGAAGCCATGTGTGGAAAAAGTAAGTGCAGCTTATCATTCAATAGCTTGTAGAGCAATAACTTTAGCAGCAAGAACTTGAAGTAACTGTATGACTTTATCAGTCTCTCACATTGTTGTGGAGGAATTTTGGCCCACTCTTCTTTACAACATTGCTTCAGTTCATTGAGGTTTGTGGACATTTGTTTGTGCACAGCTTTCTTAAAGGCTCACCACAGCACTGCAATCGGGCTGAGGTCTGAACTTTGACCGGGACATCCCAACACCTTGAATTTTTCCTTTTTCAGTCATTCTATTGTAGATTTGCTGGTGTGCTTGGGTTCATTGTCCTGTTGCATGATCCAATGTCGCTTTAGCTGTTAGACAGATGGCCTCACATTTGACTCTAGAAGACTTTGGTGTATGAACCACTCTGGTTCATGGTTGACTCAATAACTGCAAGTTGCCCAGGTCCTGTGACTGCAAAAGCCCAAATCATCAACCCTCCACCACCATGTTTGGCAATTGGTCTGAGGTGTTTATGCTCATATGCTGTGTTTGTTTTTTGCCAAATGTGTTGTTGTGCATTATGGCCAAACATCTCCACTCTGCTCTCATCTGTCCAAAGGGCATTGTTCTAGAAGTCTTGTGGTATCTCCAGATGCAACTTGGCAAACCTAAACTGTGCTGTCATGTTCTTTTTCTCCTTACAACCCTTCCAAATGAACCAAATTTCTTCATTCTTTTATAATTGTACTGTCATGAACTTTAACATTTAACATGCTAACTGAGGCCTGTAGAGTCTGAAATGTAAAGTCTGTGTCTGGTTGTTTTTTTTTCAATTTCTCTGAACATTGCACAGTCTGACCTTGGGGTGAATGTTCTTGGACATCCATTCTTGGACCAACTTGCAACTGCCTTGAATGTTTTTGATGTGTGAATTATCTTCCAAACAATTTAAAGTCCATCATCCCAAAGAATGATGGACTTTAAATTGCTTGGAAATGGCTTATAACCTTTCCCAGATTGATAGGCAGTAACAATAGCTTCTCTACGATAACTGTTGATATGTTTCCTCCTTGGCATTGTGTTAACACAAACTTGAATGCTCCAGACCAGCAAACTGCTAAAACTTCGGCTTTTATAGATATTCTGTGCCTCTAGCTCTTCTTTAGACCTTAATTCACCATCCTTTTTAAATAAATCTTGGTATTTTAAAAGTTTTGCTTTTGTTATGAGATTAGGTTGTGTAAAGGCCTCAATAGATGATACCCATACAGGTGTTTTGTGATGTATTTGTTGTATAATCTTTCTCCACATTCCCAATAAAGCTCTTCTTATCATATGTAAATGAAAATGCTTTTGCTCTTTATCCTTTTTATACCATAGATAAGCATGCCAGCCTAATTGTAAATCATGTCCTTCCAAGTTAAATAATCTATCATTTTCCAAAGTTATCCATTCTTTTATCCAATCTAAAATACAAGATCTTTAATACAGAACCCAATATGGAAGACCAAAGCCAGCCCTCTGTTTAGCACCTTGCATTGCCTTAATTTTAATTCTTGGTTTTTTATCTTGCCATACAAATCTCATGATTATTTTATTAAGTTCTTGGGAAAAGGTCTGTTTTAATATGATAGGAATTGTCTGAAATAAGAATAGGATTTTTGGCAAGACACTCATTTTAATTAGTAATTTGGATCCCTAAATATCGAATTCCCTTTTCCTCTTGGAAGTTCATCTTCTCTATAAACTTCTGCTGTTCTTGTTCTCTTATATTTTTTGTAAGCATTTTTGTTTTCTTTTGGTTTATTCTCATTCCTGCCATATCACCAAAGTTTTTCAACGTTGCCATCAGGTCTTCTATTGAATGCACTGGATCTTCCAGTATAATGACTAAGTCGTCTGCAAAAGCCTGAAGTTTATAGATTGGCCTTTTACTTTCAATCCTTTCAATTCCTTTTTATCTCTGATTTGTTCAGTTAATATTTCTAAAGTCAAGATAAATAGCAGTGGAGAGAGTGGACACCCCTGTCTGGTACCTTTCTGTATTTGTATTTCTTTCAACAGCTCGCCGTTAATTCTCACTTTTGCCTTTTGTTGGGTATATATTGCTTTAATTAGCTTCAAAAATCTTTCTCCAACTTGTAGTGTTTCCAGCAAATATATCATAAAATTCCAATCAAGATTATCGAAGGCTTTCTCTGCATCCAAGAATATCATGGCCATCTGTTTCTCCGGGTGTGCTGCATAATATTCCAAGGAGCTTCCCCATTTTGGCCTTATTTTTGTTAAATAAATTATGACATGGTGTAATATGTCATGTGTTTTTGTTCATCTGAGGTTGTATTTATCTAATTTTCAGACCTGCTAAGGATTAGATTATTTTTACTATGTCCTGATACGTAAAACTATGACATTCAAAGAGGGTGTACTTTCTTTGTCACATGACTGTATACTAGATAACATATTTCTCCAAACTATTGGAGGAATAGCAAGTTTTTGTTTTGTTTAGAATTTTCCCCACTATTTCCTGAAAGAGGAAGGGTGACACAGAACAGATAGAGATACTTCTATTGTGGGTTCTGAGAGTCATCATAGCTGTAGGAGTATGAAGCTAGCTGAACCAATCTGATTCTGCTATTTTGGGAAGAGTTACAGCAGTCTTTACTGAGCATGGCTGTGAGTGACCGAATAGCTCATAATCTGTTAAACATTTAATTGGCTCACATATTGAAAAGGCATTAAGTGAAAGCATCAGTTTAAACAACAGTGGCCTTTCATGTCCTAGAAAGAGCCTTGCAATGAGAAATCTTACTGTACTCTGATTAAGGCAGGACTTGATGATCCATAGGGTCCCTTCCAGCTCTGCAGTTCTAAGACTATGATTGCTCTTACTCTTAGTCTTATTATTTATTTATTTTATTACTTTATATTATTATTACTATTATTGTTGTTGTTGTTGTTGTTGTTGTTGTTATTGTTGTTATTGTTGTTATTGTTGTTGTTGTTATTATTATTATTATTATTATTATTATTA